TTATCATGAATGGATGTAGAATTTTATCAGATGGTTTTTCTGCATCTGTTGAGATGATCAACAGAGGTTTTGGTCTTTTCTGTTGATATGGCATATCACATTGATTTTACGTATGTTGAACCAGCCTTGTGACCCTAGGATGAATCCAACTTGATCATGGTGTATGATCCTTTTTATGTGTGGTTGGGTTCAATTTGCTAATATGTTGTTGAAGATTTTTGCATCTATATTCATCAAGGATGTTGGCCTATAATTTTTTTGGTAGTGTCTTTGTCTGGTTTTGGTATCAGGGTGATGGTGGCTTCATAGAATGACTTTGGGAGGGTTCCCTCCTCTTCAGTTTTTTGGAAGAGTTTGAGAAGGATTGGTATAAGTTCTCCTTTATATGTTGGGTAGAATTCTTCAGTGAAGCCATCCCATCCTGGACTTTAGTTTTCAAGGAATTTTTTCTTTTATTACAGATTCTATTTCATTTTTAGTGGTTGGTCTGTTCAGATTATATCTTCTTGATTCAGTTTTGGTGAGCTGTATGTTTCTATAAACTTGTCAGTTTCTTCTAGGTTCTCCAATTTGTTGGCATAGTATTCTCTTATGTTTTTTTTTTTATTTCTGCAGTATCAGATATTATTTCTCCTCTTTCATTTCTTATTTTTATCACTTACCTGTTTTTAAATAAACTTCTGACTTCTAGAGAGTGTACAAGTAGATTTTTCAGGCAGCATTTTAACCGTCAGCATCCATGTCCTGAAGATTCAGTGAAGGTATGAAATGAAGTTCAAGTCAGTTTTGAGTGAGATTACAGAGATGCCACAGTATCAGGTTACCAGTATCACTTCCGCCTAGCTATTCTTTCCCTTTTATACCTTCCTTGTCTCCCCAGATATGGATCTAAAGGCAAAAGGGTATCTTCATAGATCAGCAGGATTTATGGTGGTGAAATTTATTAACAATGTTAAAGGAATATTTATTACTCTCTTTTCCGGCTGAATAAAAATCAGAAACCAGAGAGTCATTATCCAGATGGTCGTAAGCGCGCATTCAACCATAAGAGTGCTAGATATGGATACGTTTGAGCCCATAACAAGCAAAAGAGGATACAATTGCATATTTTTATAATTAGACCATGATGTAATGTTTATTGGTTTATGCGTAACAGATGAATACTTGGTTTATAGTACAAGAAGAGCAGGAGTTTACATCCTTGGCTGTGACGTCATACTCTTAAAGTACTTTTTAGACTACCACTAAGTAAATTTCTACCCAAAAGGAAAGATTTGGAGCCTCGGATTTTGGAAAGCCAGCAAACTCTTCCTGGAAGTGCCCCATGTAGAGTGCATGATCCGGGCTATGAGAATATAATTCTGCCTGCCTTTCACTTCCCTTATATGCTGTCACCTTTGCACAAATTTCAGCACCTTTGGCAGTCACTTCAGTTTTGCGCAGATTGCTAGAGATGAGAGGACCAACGGTTGTTATTCTCACCTTTGATGCAGAAATTCTTTTTAGGACTGTGCATGAGATGTGTCTATAAATAAGTAAAGTGATGATATTTTTGTAATCATGGCCTTAATATAAAAACAGAAAGGCTTTTATCCCCCTCCAAGTCATCTTCTGTAAAAGCTACACAGCTATTCCACCTGAGCTGCCACTATTCAAATTATTTGGGGGACTCCTCTTTGGGGGGAGGCTATCAGAGTAAGTTTGCAAGCCAACGAGAAAACCAATGTTACAGTTTTTGTGTCATGTCTGAATTTTTACTAAATCCAAACAGTCTCCCCAATTTTATGGATTGGTTCTCTTTGACTTTTATCTATCTAAAAAATAAAATAAAATTCACTCAAAAGTATAAAGTTTTGATGCCACTTAGGACATTCAGAGTAATAGACCTCAGGTTCCAGAGTTGTGAGACTCCAAATGGAACCTGGTTTTTTCTGACATAGGCTACCCCATGGTAATAACACCAGAATCTTGTCAAAGACTGTTGTGAAGTCCTACCACTTTTGTTCTAGGATCTAGAAGTGCCCCATAAAAATATTTTTAACCTACCTTTGCAACTCTGTTATCCTTCAGTTAACTGCGACCTCCTCTCTCCCCCTCCCCACCCAGAACTTTCTCTGCCTTCTTTGCATCAGGTCAGCTGTGCTCCATCTTGTATTTATGTGCTGCAGTTTTCAATGAATTACCCTTTAATTGCTCTACTAAAATGTATCCTTTTTATAGATCTTTATGATTATTAAGTTTATGATTTTTGCATCTAATCCTGATCTTCCACCTGACTCAATTTCGTTGTCATCTAAAAGTATTCATTTCAGCATGATGATTATAATTTTGAAGCCATCAGTGTGTCAGGTACGGCCCTGGGGACTGAAAACATCAGTTCACCTAACCCTCACCGCATTAGGAGATGGGTACTATCATTCCCACCTAACAGACGAGGAAGCTAGGGCTCAGATAGTGCCGCTGACTTGCCTAAAGTCAAAGAAATGACTAGAAAGCAGGGAGACAAGGATTCAAACTCTCATCCATCCAAGGCAGGGTTTCCCAACCTCGCACTATGGTATTTGGGGCCAGATAATTCTTTGTTGTGGGAGCTGCCCTGTACATTGTAGTATGTTTAGCAGCATCTCTGGCCTCTGCCTACCTGAAGCCAGTAGCCCTTCCCTACACCCATTGTGACAACCAAAAATGCCTCCAGACATTGCCAAATGCCTCCAGACATTGCCAAATGTTCTAGAATTTAAGCACCACCCATCTAATGCCAAAGTAATGCTTTTGCCACATTATACTATTAAATCGAGAATACAATCATAGAATTTTAAGGCTGGATTTTAAAGAGGTTGATTTTTGGAATCACCACACCTGGCTAATCACCAGAATTGGAGATATTTAAAGACTCTTTTCCCACCCAAGACCTTCAAAATCAGCATTTACCAGGTGGGGGACGGGTATCTATTTTAAGCCCCTTCACGGGTGTAGGATCAGATCTTAACCTCACCACACATCTGTTCCTTGAATCACTCCACTCCATTCCTGCCAGATAGTTCTCCAGCCTCGGGTTTAACACCTCCTGTGATGGTGTTACCCATATTCAGATGGTCCTAACTATGCAAAAGCATTCTTCTTTAACATTCTTTTCCTATCTCTCCCTCTATACCCTTAATCTCATATTATCCAAATTATCATTTTTCTTAAGTCAATTGAATTAAACATGTATTGAGGGACTTGCCTGGTGGCACAGTGGTTAAGAATCCACCTGCCAATGCAGGGGGACACGGGTTCAAGCCCTTGTCCGGGAAGATCCCACATGCTGTGGAGCAACTAAGCCCGTGCACCACAACTACTGAGCCTGCGCTCTAGAGCCCATGAGCCACAACTACTGAGCTCGCATGCCACAGCTGCTGAAGCCCACATGCCTAGAGCCCGTGCTCCGCAACAAGAGAAGCCAGCGCAATGAGAAGCCCGCGCACCGCAAGGAAGAGTAGCCCCCATTCGCTGCAACTAGAGAAAGCCAGCGTGCAGCAACAAAGACCCAACGCAGCCAAAAATAAATAAATAAATCTATTAAAAAAAATTGTTTTAAACATGTTTTGATTCCCAATTATGTATTAGGCCCTACCCTGAGCTTTTTTTTTTTTTTTAACCATGGCTGTTAAGACCGTTATGGATTCTTTTTAAGAAAATGACCATCCAACAGTTTTCTCAGTTTAACAATAGACTTCCTCAGAAGAGCAATCGTAATACATTAAAATCTTTCATGGTTGGCCACCCATCCAGCTGCTACAGCCCATCCAGCTGCTACTGGGAAGCAGTCCGCTCTGCAACTTGTGGGGTTCCTGTTTTGGGGAAGCAGAGCTGCCAGTAGCTTTCCTCTGCCTCTTCACCCCTCACCCAGCAACCCTCTTTTAACCCTTTTTGATGGTTTCAGGAAGATTCCAAAGTAGCTCCTCATTCTGGTAAAATCATTCTCTACCACATGCTCCAGATTTCTTCTCTGAAAACAGAGAGGAAGGGAAATTTTTTTCAAAATCTTTCTTTATAGTGCTCCTCTTAAGAATATCTTTTAATGAATTTGATTAATAAAAATTAATGAATGAGTATAAGGATAAATTAATTTTAATAATGTATCAAGGGACTTCCCTGGTGGCGCAGTGGTTAAGAATCCGCCTGCCAATGCAGGGGACACGGGTTCAATCCCTGGTCCGGGAAGATCCCACATGCCTCGGAGCAACTAAGCCAGTGCGCCACAACTACTGAGCCCGCATGCCTAGAGCCCATGCTCCACAACAAGAGAAGCCACCGCAATGAGAAGCCTGTGCACCGCAACGGAGAGCAACCCCACCCGCCGCAACTAAAGAAAGCCGGCACACAGCAACGGAAGACTCAACTCAGCCAAAATAAATTAATTAAAATAATAATGTATCCAATCTCACACTTACAGTTCACTCTTCTTTAAAGTCAAGTAGTCCCTTTCTGCTCACACTTTGGATTCTCCCCTAAGTCACCAGGATAGTTTAGAACCTACAGGAAATTGCTTTTTAATGAGAGATCTTGGATCACTGGAAGATTGTAACGGACACTCATACTGCAAAGGCTGCTTATGACCGAATGTGTAAGGTTAAACCTGCAGGTGCCCAGTCTCTTTAGCGGGTTGACGTGAGTAGCTAGTGAGCTAGAAATGTGTGCAAGCAGCCCTGACTTGCCTGGATGGAGCTCCAGTAGGCAGGTTGTGTTTAGAGAAAACCAAGGAGAAAATAACATGTTAACCGGAATCAACCGTTTGGGGTCAAAATAACAATCCGGTGTTTTTGTACTTGTGTGAGACATAAAAGGAAAAGTTGAGTTTCAGTTTGGCTTAGTAGGAACTTCCAAACTTCTGGCTTCTGCCTGGGTACCTCCAAAGAAGTACCTGGACCAAGGGAAAACCGCCTGGCCCCCTCCCATCTTTGACTGCTCTGGAAAGCACCAGTGTCTTGAATGTGGTGTCCGCTCTCTTCTTCTAGAGTTTTATAAATGGACACTGACATGGACTACGAAAGACCCAACGTGGAAACCATCAAGTGCGTGGTCGTGGGAGACAACGCCGTGGGGAAGACGCGCTTGATCTGCGCCAGAGCGTGTAATACGACGCTGACACAGTACCAGCTGCTGGCCACCCACGTACCCACAGTGTGGGCCATTGACCAGTACCGGGTCTGCCAGGAGGTAAGACAGACGGCGTTTCTTTAGAATCCTAAGGGTACATCATTGCTGTTGCCAGTCTGATTTTTATTTCTTTTTTTGGATTTCTAGTTACTTGATTTTTTTTTTTTTATCAAAGTCTAGTTGCTTTACAATGTTGTGTTAGTTCCTGCTATACAGCACAGTGATCCAGGTATACCTATGTATACATTCTTTTATATTCTTTTCCGTTACGGTTTACCACAGGCAATTGAATGCAGCCAGTCTGATTTTTTAAAAGCAGGGGAAGGGGTTAACTTGTGTATTCGAGACAAAACTCACCTTTTTAGTGTCACAAGCGAAAACAAAAGCCAGAAGGCCGACTTGGAGTATGGCTATGGTATCCTGAGGGAGGGCTTTTGAGGCACGTGGCTCCAGGAACAGAATTAGGACTTAGCTAAGTCCTGTTCGATAGAAGGAGACGACTAAATGCAAGTGTGTCTCGGGGGCTCTGAGGGGGAGCCTCTGACTGCCAGTGAGCATGGGTGCTGTCTCTCCTGCAGGTCTTGGAGCGTTCCCGGGACGTCGTTGATGAAGTGAGCGTCTCTCTCAGGCTTTGGGATACTTTCGGCGATCATCACAAAGACAGGCGTTTTGCATATGGCAGGTAAACCAAGACTAGTGCAGTTCAGTTCAACTTCAGTACAATTTCCTTTCCCAAACCCATCTCTGCTTCGTAAATCAACAAAAAATCACATAATATGGCCTCGAGATGTGTTGGGTGCTGCGCTGTGTCTAAGAAAACACAAGACCAAAAAAAAGAGCAACCCAAAACAGCATTGTTTCCTGATGTCAAGAAAAGCGCTCTGCGTGGCCACTTGGTTCCTCCCAGGAAGTATTTTATTTAAAACAACCAGTGCTAGTTAAACTGGACGTTTGCTGGATGCAGATTCTGTTGTGCTCTCCAACCTTGGGCTGCTTTGATTGTTGTCTTCCTGAATAATACTTAATTTACCTTCTCTTAGAATGTTTTAAGTTTTTTTTAGCACTTGGCCACCCCACTTCAGAAGGTCTCTTTGGTCTTTTTGTGACCATACTGCCGTCTGATGTTACTTGCTTTGGGCTTTGTTGTCTGAAAAGTCTATTGTTTTTATTTGAAGGTCATTTTTAAAAAAGAAAGAAAAATATCTCTGAAGTTCTTCACAAAGGCACATTTCCAAAATGAACTGAAGCGTTAATGTCTACTTTTCATTTAAAAAAAAAAAAAAAAAAGGAGGAGGAGGAAAAATCCAGTAAAGGGAAGATAAATCTAGGACATTAATATGAGTGGGAACAAGGTCAAAGTACCGTAAAATATTTAGCAACTTCTCTTTGTCACCATAACTCCAAAGAAGTCTCCGGGACTCCAGCGGTCTTAAAGTCCCTCTCAGTGAATCTGTTATAACTATCAAAATCCAGATAAGGAGGAGATTTCCTTACCCCTTAATAGTAAATGAAGACGTTTCCTTTTAAGTTTAGAAAGTTTAGAATTTAGGTCTCTGTTAACATCAAGCATCATGCTACCTCACAGGATTGGATTAGATACTCCAAACGAGTTACTCCTTTGTATTGAGATAAGCTTTTCTGAAAGGACCTCTCTTTTCTTCAAGCCAGTAGCCCTCGTAAGCCTCTGAACTTCTATTGGCATTTATCCAAGTGGTCTAAAATACTGAATAAACCGCTGAAAGGGTTTGCCCTAGTCCTGAGAAGTCGTTCACACACTGAAAGAATCTGCAATTTAGGCGTTTGTTCAAGGGGGTCTCAGAAAGAGGCATGTAGAAGTAAAACTGATTTTAATGTCCCCTTGAACAACGAGAACTGTTGAACTTAATATCCAGCATTACAGATAGGTTTCTTCTTGAGTTTCCTGGGTTTTTTTTTTTTTCCCTTTCCATGATGTTCTTGATTCTTATCTTAGTTGCCATTTGGGTTTTTTCCTGTTGTCTCATTATTACACACGCACAAAAATAAGAATCAGTGAACCTGCTTGTAAGTACTATGCCGTCAGATTTTGTAATACCTGTGGTTTTAAGGAAGCATAATTAAATGATGACTGGAAGCAAAGTAAGGACAGCACAATAGATTTCAAAGGACTGTTTGTACCCAACTTCTAAAAAGGTGTGGTGAATAGAGATGAGCTTACTGAGATATTGGGTTTAGCTTCTACATGCTGTCTCAACAGCTCAGTGGTTTATTGCCACTTGAAATTTATGTATTTGGGATGATGAATTTTAACTTGGTTCCACCATGTAAAACTTGTTTTGTGGTAATAGAAAGGCTGCTTCATTATTATGGGAGGTTCCTGCTTAGGGGTGATTTAATGGCACAGTGACCTTCATAGGTCTGATACTGACAGGCATCTACACTGGGCCTCATCCAGCTTCTTGATGTATGTCATGCCTGTGCTTGGTCCCTCCCAACAGAAATAAGCTGGTCTCTCATGTGACTCTATCAGTTCAAAGTGCAGTGTTCTGGCTCTGACAGTGTTTTGCTCTGTCAGCTGTAGCCATCCCCCACCCCTTTGGTGGAAACAGGACGCGCTTTCCAAGCCAAGTCTGACTCCCTGAGCCACACAGAGGGGCTCAGGAAGCCCTCCCGTGTTTCTGACCGAGCTCTCTGTGGGCCTCACTTTTATGTGCATGTCTGGCCTTGCATTTCCTCTGTCTTTTCTGATTCTCCGCAGCCTCCAGGCTTCCTGCCACAGACCCCACCACTGGTAAAGAACAAAAACCAGGGCTGTTCTGTTTCGGATTCCAGTCTCTGTCTATAAACGCTAAATATGTCAGACCGCATTGCTATAGCACCAAAAAGTTACATTGTATGGAAAAGTCTGGTAGTAGTAGAAGTTTCTTTTACTCAGTATAGGGTTCCAACCACTGGATCTCATTGCTGTGTGAGAGCTGTTTAATTTCTGTATAACTTCCATTTTTAGCTCCCTATCATTCGTTACGGAGCAAAACCATAATTACAGTTTCTGACATTCAGTTTGGTTTGCAAACCTGTTTTTTCACTGATGTTTTTACTATACTTGGTATGAATTACAAGTCAGCGAGATGTGATACGTTCCTGAGACTCGGAAATGTATTTGGAACCTTTTTAAAATAATTCATTTGATTCTTACGGTGACAGTGAGAGAAACCAGATTCATACCAAGATGCCTTAGACCTCACCTTCAGTTTCCTCGGCTTCTTAGCACCAAGCTAGTTAACAGGTTACCCCCTCAAACCTCCTTTGGCACAGGCACGTTCTAGTTTGCAGGGTGGGCCAGGACGGTGCCAGTCTGCTGACTTGAATTTGCAATTTTCCTCATGTGGTATTAACTACAACCAGAATGTCAAAGCTCTTGTCATAATTTAAAGGTAATTATTCAACCCATTTTTTTAGCCAACTAGATTAACAGCTCCAATTCATCAAAGCCCTACAGTGTGTCCGTCAAAATATTAGGTGCTTTGCCAACACTAGTTTAGTTAATCCTTCCAGGAGCCCTAGGAGGCAGAGATCATCTCTACTGCAGTTGAGTAGAGAGTTGAGTTCTTTTACTACCCTAACCTGCCCAACAGTGAGTTTCAAAAATAGATTCAAACCCAGCTCTGCCTGACTCCTACTCTTTCCATTGTGACAAGCTACCTTGACCTCATTTTAAACAGAATGCAACTGAAACCGCCACCCCACATTGATGAGCTGGGTATCCATTTGCTCTTCTATATTTGTGTGGTGGCTCAGAATGAGAAGAGATCTCAAAAAGTCATCTGGTCAACCCCTTTTCTCCAGGAAGGGAGATCATCCATCCAAGAAAAAGTAGTGATAGGAGTCCTTCTGTTCGATGGACATGAAAGGTAGCAGAGTGGCATTAGCATCCTAACACTTACCTAACACATTTGAAATACTTCAAACCCTCTTTTGTCTGGAGCGAATGACTCCAACTTTTAGTAGCCTTCCTTCTTCCTACCACCTGCTTTCTATCCATTTTCGCGTGAACTTTTGAAGCTCTTTCCTGGATCTTTTAAAATGTCAAGAACAGAACTGTACCTAGTAGCCATGACTGTGATCAGCTGCTCTTTTTTGGCAAGAAAAAAAAATAGCTTCTTTTTAAAGGGATGTCACTCAAGAGCTTTCCCCTAGAACTGTTAAAAGAAGGAAGTGTGTACACTTAGGTACCTGGCACTGAAAATGTAGGCAAGTAGGATGGGCTCTGCCTTCAACAGAATACCTGGGCCCCTCTGCCACCATCCTACAGTCACACCACACATAAATAATTACCCATTTTATTGTTCACTTTCCTTGAAAACCTTCACCATTGCTGTGTCTTGGGGTCACATAACCTTCAAACACACAAAGCCTATGGAGCTGGAGGTGGTGATAACAGCAGCTACAATTTAATCAGGGCTCCCCACGAGCCAGGCCTGTGCTCACGGCTCTACGTATCTTGTTGCCACGTCATTCTTGTGGTGACCCTGTAAACTAGGCTCATTTCACAGTTGAGCAAGCGCGTACAGAAAGGGGCCAAGGTCAGATGGCTAGGAGAGAGTGGTACTGAGCTTTTCCTGGTAGTTCTGTCTGGCTCCAAAGCCTGCTTCTTCCCTTCCCCCCAGGCTTTTGTGGTTGACGATGATGATTGACGGCCAACTTACTTTACATTTATTCCCAGTCCAGTCTAATTCTTACACTATTCTGTGTGGACATGGAAGACCAGCGTTCACCATCTATCACCAGCTCTAGCTAATATTCCCTTTGTTCCTCTTAAGTTCTTTAATACGTAGCAAATGACTTAATTCTCTATATGCATCCATGAGTGACTAAACATGAGTCCTTTCATTTCCAGTAAAAATGTTACAACCGAGCAGACTTTCTGAGAGGGAGTGGGATGCTTGGGTACTCTCTGTGGCATGTTTTCTCCCCCCAGTTTTACGTAAGCATGCAGAATCACTGTATCTACCCTTACGCCGAAGAGCTTCTAGGCATATTTTCAGTACAGTTGGAACTCTTATTATATAGATCACTCTTACACACTGATTTTCCTCAAGTGTTTTTACGTCCAATGAGAAGCACACTACATGTTTTAAATGATAACATCAATCAGAGCCAGGGTTTCTGTGTATCTGTTTAGATAAGACAGCTCTAGTTTCACGTGGAAGGCACATGTAATCAGATACAGCATGAATACATCTCATCTTGAATGCCTGGTTGAGGCCCTTTAAAAAATTCAGGACTGTGGGTGACCAGTGTTTATGTCTTTGTTTGGGATTGGCTGAACTTGTGGTTAATGGCATGGGAAAAAAGCAAGAAACAACTAATGTGCCTCAATAAAGTATTTTGAAGTAGTTCTCGTCCATGGCACTTTTCTAAACGCTTGGCCAGAACTAACATTCTGATGGTGACTTCAGGATGGCAAACAGCCTGTCAGACAGAGAAACATATCAAGTGGAAGAGGGCCAGGGCCAGGATGAGGGTGAGGCACTCACCTTGGGTGTAAAATGTAAATCATCATAATTTTTAAAAGATAGGATCGGGCTTCCCTGGTGGCGCAGTGGTTGAGAGTCCGCCTGCCGATGCAGGGGACGCGGGTTCGTGCCCCGGTCCGGGAAGATCCCACATGCCGCGGAGCGGCTGGGCCCGTGAGCCATGGCC